GCATTGGGGAACCGCCTTGCATCCCTCTGGGATGGCAGTATTGGATTCAACATGGAATAAAAGCAGGCAACAAAAGGACAAGGCTTCAAGCCTTGGCTGCTCAAACCTTTAATGTTACCTGGAGAAATTTAACAGCACCTGATACAAATACATTTCCTGTATGCCCTGAATTTACTTATAAAAATATTTCTTATAATCCCATAATTTGGCAACTATGTATGGGAAAATTTGCTAAAAATATTGATGGGTATATTATTTGGGGACCATTTGGAAAATTCGTTAATGGATGTGCTGAATGGAATGAGACAAGATGTAATCTCTCTGTTGTGTATAGTCTTCCAGATCCAAAGAAAATAACTGACGGAGCTCCTATATTTCAACAAAAGACGGCTCTCTTGTGGTGGGGAGATGGTGGAATCGCTAACCCTGCTGTTGCAGCCGAAGAATACCCTCATCACCTTCAAAATCATATTTGGAAGATCCCAGCCGCTATGCAACCTGTAACCTTGTACAATGTTTCATATTCAGGGACTAGTCGATCTGTATCTACTACTTATAATTTTACTAGGTTTAAAATGTATAATATTACTGTTTGTGCACCTCTGCCTTATGTCTTTTTAGTGGGAACTTTTAATTTTACACATTTTTCTTGTACTTGTTTAAATTGTCAATTGTTTACATGCTTAAATAACACACTAAATTTCACTAAGCCTTATACAGTTATGCTGTTACAACAAAAAACTCATATTTGGTTGCCTGTAAATTTAACTCGACCTTGGTCTCAAGACCCGGTAATTTCTGTTACTACTGAATTTTTTAAACATCTGTTAAAACGTACAAAAAGATTTATTGGAATAGTGGTTGCTGTACTGTTAAGTCTGATAACTGTAGCCTCTCTAGCAGCAGTCTCAGGAGTAGCTTTACAAACCTCTTTGCAAGAAAAACATGTTGTCGAATTATGGCATGAGAATTCTCATGAACTTTGGTTAACTCAGTGGCAGATAAACGCCAGACTACAACAACAAATAGACCTCCTTAAACAAACAGTTGAATGGATGGGTAGAAAAATATTGGCTCTTCAGCATCAAGTGTTTTTAAAATGTGATTGGAATTCAACTACTTTCTGTATAACCCAACGACCTTATAATCAGACAGAACATAAATGGGAAATGATTAGAATGTATTTAAATGGAAACACCTCTGCCCAGGAGGAAATAGAATCTTTGCATAATCAAATTGACAAGGATTTTGCAAAGCAAAATGATGATGAATCTCTAGCACAATTCGCGCAATTGCTTGCTCAATCTTTGAAAGGATTAGATTCCAAAGGAATCTGGCAGAGCATTACCCACACTTTTAGTGGCATGGGACTTAGTTTAATTATAGTTCTCATTGCCATAGTTCTTGTGTATTTTTACTGCATAAGACGAAATGCTATTAATAACCTGATCTTATGGAAATTGTTGTTAAAAAATAAAAAGGAAGGAAGTGTGGGGGATGAGGTGTCACTTTGTAGGCCCAACCCCCTCTAACCTGCAATTTACAATAGCCGCCCTGGTATGCGAGAAGGAGGTAGAACGGGAATGCCTGTTCTCAGTGAGCCCTCACCCTCTGGAATCCATACTGTGAGCTGGCTTTGTTTTGCAGAAGTCTTGAGGAAGTGGCTGGCCACCCTTTGTGACACTAACAGCAGACAAATTAACAACATTCTTGAGCTAATGAATTTCTTCCTGGGCTAGAGAAGTTGTGAGAACTGGTTGTGATTATTTACTTCACTTAGATAGTTTTAGAATAAACATTGTAGTCTGTCACGTTGTAGCTTGCCACAAAGAATGCCTTTTCACTACTTAATTATCTGGGCTCTGTGAATTGATCGGGTTTACTATATATGAATCCTAAAATAAAGATTGTGCGTACAGTGCAGTGCAGTGCAGTGTAACGCGGTGCAGACAGCAAAGGTGTCTCTCCTGTCTTTCTTTTCCAAGCGCTGTACCCCCCGTGTCCCGACAAGGCGTGCGTGTTTACCTTGCCCGGAGTTCAGAGTGCTCTAGACACTCACGACACAGTGTATGTCTATGTTTAAAATATTTTAAGTGCACAGTATGGTGAATTTTTATAAGATGTGTTTCCAACTGTAGAGTAAGGATCTTCAGGGACATAAAATAAGAGGTAATAACCAATGGTTTTATTTAAAGTATGCCGTTTTGCTTGTTTTTTTAAAAACAATTATATTTATTTTTATTCTCTCTCTAATAAAAATTCTGATTTTACTTAACATATCATTTAAGTATAAAGAATAATATGCAAAAGCTCATTTAAAGAAATACAAATGGTATGAAACAAAATCAACCATGAGTAGGTATGTATCTATAGTGCTGTTTATTAGATACAAGTGTTCAAACACAAGCACATGCCTTAATATATGTCTGTGTTAAGAGGTGCAAAATGAAAAATTGAGAGTTTAAGGCAGACAACTGTCATTATAATTTCTATAGCTACTTTTCTTTGCAAAGGGAGATATGGTATATGGTAATATAACAAAGTGTTGTAACAAGAAATAAATGGCATAATTAATCCTTGTAAAACCTTTACTAGATAACCTAGCATAAAATATATTCCATAAACCTTGGCTAGCAATAGCTAGTAATATCAATTCTTACAGCATCATTGTCTATAAATTAAACTCATTGTGTTTGAACCCAATGAGAAGGAACCAACATTGTTTAAAATACATAGTCCCTTTCACCAGTGAATAAAGATTAGTTCAGATCACCACTTTTCCTTTTTCTTTGTTCATATCAATTACCTGCTCCCTACTACGGTCTTCCTGATGTTATCTCAACTCATCATAACCTGATGTTATGCTCAACTCAAGCAACTGTTATTGTTGCTTAGTACACCTCTGGTTTCACCACTCCTAGGACAAACAAGAAGTTAAAGTATAACAGAAAACAAAACCAAGTAAGCAAGCCACAAACAACAAATTCTTTAATGGTTCTAAAGAAAGATACCAGCAACTGGTTCCAGACAGCATCAGTATCACCACCTCCCCTTATTAAAAGCTGGCTGAACTGGCCCTCCGTCAATCAGTATTCATGATGTCTTTTATTTCTATCTCATCCTCCAGGCTCTGCCTTCCTAACCCACAGTGCTGAGAAGGTGAAGAGAGACACGAACGTGTCTAAAACTCTATAGAAGGCTTCGCTTCTTGAAAAAGGGTGCTCTTCCATTCTACTCAGGTGAGGAGGCAAAACTCACAAATACGAGAAGTCAGAGAAAAGACACACTTGCATGCTTTTCCTCAATTCGTGTTGCTAAGCAAAAAACCTAAGGCCTCACCTCCTAGGAGAAAGTTGTGATAATCCAGAAGAAAACTTGGCAGCATACATGCTGGGGTTGGGGTGTATGTAACTACAGACATCTTGTCTGTGTTCTCTTTGGATTTTCAAGGACAGGGATAGGTTGGCGAATAAAGGTTAAATGTTTACTGTAGGCTGGGATCAAGACTCTAGAGTAGTAGCATCTTATCTCTCAGAGGACACAGAAGAAGACCTGGGTAGGGGATCTCAAGACTCCATAAAGCAGCATTGAGAATGAAGGCAGGTGTCTTGCTACTCAAACAGCTGTTGGACAACTGTGGTGTTAGGCCACATGCAAAGTGGGTTGGAAGCAGAGATCAACAACCTTGCCTGCCTCTTTAATAGAAAACCAAGAAAAGTTGACTAATATACAAGAAGACCACACACGCACACGCACACACACACGCACACACACACACACACACACACACACACACACACACACACACGCTCTCCATAGGGTCTTAATAGTGGAGATTCCTTCCACAGTACAACCTGCATGGGCTTGCACACACACACACACACACACACACACACACACACACACACACACGCTCTCCATAGGGTCTTAATAGTGGAGATTCCTTCCACAGTACAACCTGCATGGGCTTGCCCTAAGCCGGAGTTGCAGAAGAAAAGAGTAAGCCACTCCCTCACATCTGGTCTTTAGAGCTGGAATTCTTGCCTCATGAGGGAGAGAAGGCAATAGAAAGTAAACTGGATATGAGACTGAAGTTTCTTAATATCACAGTGGAGGTATGATGTGATGGGAAGTCTCCTCCATATATCCTTAGGGGATGGATAATGAAGGATAAACATGAAATGCACACTGGCCTCTATAGTCTAGTCTACTGAGAGGATATTTCTCGAAAAACAGTTTTGCTAAGATTGGACTATACTTGGTCTAAGGGTTAAGATAAGACTTTCCGATTAGCTAGTGCAGTTAGCTTTTCTCTGGCCAATCTAGGTAGGTGCAGAAGAAAATAGGACGCTTTTCAAAAGCAAGAGGAAAGTAATAGGTAATATTTGCAGCTCTGGGTACCAGCAGGCATCATTTGCACTTGGCAGCATATTTGTTCAGGTCCCGATTCTCTTGAGCATGGCTCAGGCAGGTGTTATTTCAAATAGTCGGTTCGTGAATCGAATACATTTGATAAAATTATTGTCTTTACATTTCATATTATATTCTGTATAAATTAATTTAAGGTGAAATTTTGGGTCATCTCATATTTAAATAATTGAAGCAGGAAGTGGTTGAATATGATTTCTATTAAGTTGCCTTGGCCCATAATTGTGTTTGTAATTCTTTTACTGTTTTGTTTTTCTCATCGTTGTTCTTTTTACCTTGATAGGGATTGTTCTATGGTATATAAGTGATCATAACAAAACTATAGCTCATTCTTAAATCACCCTGGGCAATAAAAAATTCAAGCTATAGTGCATGAGACATGTCTAAAATGTAAAGAATCAAAATCTCAATGTTTGGTTGAGGATTAGTATCAATAAATTTAAAAATAAAAGAGTGTTGTGTTGTAAAATACCACTAGTCAGTTTGATTTTGCATGAACACGGTAATGGCAGTAATCGCTGTTTTCCGTATTTACTTAACCTTTGTCTCTTCTGCATGGTTTCCTGACTTACCTGCAGTTGGAGTGGGCCTAAGCCTGGTGTTGCTGCGGCAGCAGCTGCCATGGTAGTTGGGATCAGCTGAACAGGGTAAGGGTCACCTAAGTAAGAGAATAATAGAGGCGTCAGCACCTTTTATCTACTCTCCACCTGCAAATTAAACTCATGCATTCACTCTTTCCAAAAGCCTTCTTTTGTGTGCCTTGCTGAGGCCTAATGAAAAGCTCTATTGTGCAGCCTTTTACTAACACTCTTTTCACAATTCTGGCTGAGAGAGGAATGTGAATAAAAGGCACAAGCAATTAAGGCAGAAACCTCATCCTTTTTTCATGATGTATTTAGGAAAATGGAGGGAAAAGTGCACACTGATCAGAAGGCGTACTTTGTAAAACACACACACACACACACACACTCACATGCACACACACACCTGACAATCTTGATATAAGCATAGCAAATTCTTGGCAAATGTTCGGTGTTATTATAAAAGGAACTTAACTAAACTTACTTTCATTTTAACAAACTAAGCACCAAAGATTTCTGCCAAGTAGCTTATCTTTTGAATGTTATGTTAGTGATTCGATTCAAATAACGCCTGTAATATTTTCAGGACAACTTCATCGCAAAGAAAACATTTTATTTGTTTTTTTTAGGTTGTATAAAATATTGATACCCTTTTAATTCCTGAGATAAATGTTTATGAATTATGTTTTGAAGATAATAGAAGGTAACTTCTTTCTTACCTAAAAAGTCATTAATTAAAAATTAAGTGTTTTATTATATGATCAAAAATAGATATGTAAAGATTATTTTTCATGTTTTTGATGCAAATTCAGTTTTTTTATGAGATACATTTTACACAGATGCTAATGTCACAATAACTAACAATATGTGTATTACTCATTTGAAATATGATCATTGCAATTAATGAACAGTAACAAATGTTAAACTTTTTAAAGTAAACATATTTTAAAATATCTAAGTCATGAAAAAAAAATGCTGAATGTTATGAGTTTAAAAATGTAATGTGTCTGTTCATAGATTCACTTAAAAATTTTACTAAGGACCTGCTATGTGTCAAGCACTGCCCTTGGCACTGAATCTTGATCTGGAGAAGAAGACTAACATATAGGTGTTGATTTACTGGACATTTAATTCAGCTGAAGCTTTGGGCTTCTGAAAACAACTTAGCAGTGTGTTCACAGTATTCTAGATATTAATATTTGTTAGCTTCCTTAATTTTAAGGTTTATTGGGATTTCTTGTTATAAATTAATATTTACTTCTATTGCTGTGTGTGCACATATGTTTCATACTATCATTCAAAGAGGATCCTCAAAATATATTTCAAGCTTCAAAGTGCCTTGTTCTAACTCACAATTATTGGGGAAAGAAGATAAAGAAATGTTTAGTAGGAAATATGACATCATTTAGACCAGAAAGCATATATTATTTTGGACTATAAATAGGGGCTCAAATCTGGTTGAGAGGTCAATGATACCTCAGGAAAAGATCTTGTAAATTGAGAATTGAATTAGGTGAAAGCTAAATAGGCAAAAACAGGAGGACAGAGTTTGGCACATGGAGAAAGAATTTTCATGAAGATTCAGAGTCAGAGGAAGATTTATATCAACGGCCATGTCCCTATTTTGCTGAGATGCAGAGAGCAGGTCAGGGAGTAGAAATGAGTGGGCCTAGGTCAGGTGGGGAAATTACGTGACTGACGATGTGTGATAATATAACAATAGTAAAGAGCACAAACCTTAGAACAACAGAAAGGAAAAAGGCTTGCCTGAGTAAGATCTCTTGAGTTGGAGTTTGGGAACCCTAGTCAACCACAAACATTTTGAACTAAACTTTAATAATAGGCTGGATTCAAGGTGATAACATTGGGATGGAAAGTGGTGGGGAGACCTGCTTAACATTTAATGGTAGAACTGAAAATGTTTAGTGGCTATTTACTTGGGAGAGTGAGAAAAGACTCAAGAGGGACTTGTGAGGTTTCCACTTAAATGACTGAAGACTGATACTGTTTCTTAGGTTTATAAAAACAGATGAGAAGGAGCGGAGATGCTGGGCTCTGCTTAGGGGTGAAAGGAGTTACAGGAGAAGGAGCAGAGATCTGTTTAAATTTGAAAATACTTTATAGGTGCTCAAACTGAGGTGTTCCTTACACACCGATAACCTGTTAGGATTTGTGGGGGGGAGTCTAATTTGGAGACAAATTCAAGAACAGTTAACATATTTCCAAAATTCAAAACTGTGAACCCAATTAAGCCATGGAGGAGTTAACCCTAGATTAACAATGTGGTCGAAGGGTTGGTCTGTGGATTAACATTTTCTGTCAGAGACTTATCTAGCAGGGAAGCATGAAAAGAAATGTAAATATTGTATTCAAGTGGTCACGTAGAAAAGAAATTATCAGAGAGAGAGGAATGAGGAGAAGGGAGAAGGAAGAGGGAGACAGAACATTTTTTTTTAAATGCTGGGTTTAGTAACCTGAAGGATATTGGTAATTTCAACAAGGAGGGAAGTATGAGGAAGCCTAGCCAGCGTGACTGTTCTCACAGATGATGATAAAAACTGGAGGCAAGAAGTATAGACTGTTGCTCTTCAAAGTAAGATTCTTGATGAACCATATTGACCTCACTTATCTAACACAGAAATTGCTGGAAATGTAAATTTCAGAATCTAGCCCACATCTACTGCACCCAACAGCCTCTCACATAAACCCACGGACGCCTAATTCCTGGTACTATGTCCCATGTAACTCCCTCCCTTTGAATGTGGGCGGGATCTAGTAACTGTCTTTTAATGTGCAGAATAAAGTAAACCTGATGAGATTTTACTTTTGAGATTAGGTTACAGAATGACTTACTCTGCCTTGTCTGCTTCTCGCTCCCCTACCGGAGCAAGCAGCTGGGTTGTATGTATGTTGCCTTCTGGAGAGGTCCACGTAACAGAACCGGGATGTCTCTGGCCAGTACCACGCAAGCACGCTTGCCAGGCACCATTGAAGAGACAGAGCCTGGAAGTGGGTGTTTCCAGACCAATGACCGAAAAGGAAGCCAGCACCTTGTGGCCGCTATGTGAATGATCCTGTGGCAGAGGACCCGGCAGGGCTATGTCCCAGGGGATGTTTATTCCTTCATGCCACTTCATGCAGGAAGTACATAACCTCTGAATAAGAATCTAAATTTAACAGGCTTCTCGGATGATTTGCATGTAGGTTAGCATTTGAGAACTGCTGGAATATAGAACTCCAAAGCAATGGAAGTGAAAGGTGGGTGACCAGTAAAACTTCTTACAAAGGCACATATGTTAAAGAATTATAGTTTCCTAATTTGTTAATGAGAAAGACACAGTAAATGGGCAAATGAAAGGAATAAGCATGATGTAGGAGAGAGAGGGAAAAATTATGTTACATGACAGGGCTTTGTTTACTATTTTGTGTTTTTAATTAATCTATAAAGCTATCATGTAAAAGAAAGTTTCAATCTTTAAAAGCTAAAATGTATTTATGCAAACTAGCTTAAATAGCAAATACTACTACATGATTATTAAAATCAACTATTTAAATGCTTTAAATGATTTGTATTCATTTGTATTCTTCATTTAATGAACATAATCTTAAAATTAACTAAAGCAAAACTGTAGCGGCTGTGGTGCTCTTCACAGTAATAACTCCTTTTATATAATTTACTTTCTCTGTTGTAAATTAATCAATTAATAAGCACTTATAACATCTACCACATGACGAGACCTCTGCTGGGTTGTATAGGAAACCAAAATGATATGATAAAGAAAATCTCTATCTTTATTCACTGCACATCTACCTTTGTTAATTAAGTGCTTATTTGTGTTGTATTGACCGTCAGTGAGGGTTATAGGAGTTAAGGGAGAAAGATTTTTATGCTTTAATCTTTAGAAAATATTTAAAGGTAAAAATAAGGAGGGGCTTGACCTTGAAGATTTTCAGGTAGAAGGCAAGGAAGAGACTCAAGGTGATACAAATGGATCAAAGCATGAATTTAACATTCTACAGGAATAAAGAGAGACATATTTTAGCAGGTGATAGAGTAAAGAAGAGGGAAGAGAGATGGAAAGAAGACAGTTCAGAAACTTTTCATACGCTAAGTTTTGAAGATATTTGAAAATGAAAAGGCAGTCTATAAACTTGAGTGGACAGGCTGGATAGCACAGTGGAGAACACTTGCCTCGCATGAGTTCAGTCCTAGGTCTTATCCCCAGTACATCAGGAAAAAAAGGGACAAAGAGAGAGACAGACTCGGTAATAAGTGGTCTTTTTTTCTTTTTCTTTTTGGTACCAGGAACCAAATTCACAACCTTACACTTGCCAGGCGGACACTGTGCCACTGAGCCAAATCCCCAGCTACCTAGTAAGCAGTCTTAAAGATAATTTGCACATCCATCGCAGGAACTCAGGACTTACTTCTAAATTTGGATTGGTAAGAAACACAGGAGAAAATGTTCTGGGCACTTTTGTATTATTATTATCTAATTATTAATAATACTACATATACATTTAAAGCATATTGATGCATATGTAGAGTATCTTATAATATTTCTGGAACAAATATATTAAAATCTTTTTTTAATTTCCTAAATTTATGAATATATGTTGATGAAATATATATTAAAAAAATTTAAAATAAAATAAAATTTAAGTAAAATTTAAAAAAAATTTTTCTTTGGATATGTACATGTATATGTACATGTGTGTAAATGTATGTATACAACGTTTATACAGAGTACATAATTCTACAAGTATATTATATGTTCAACTAGTTCACTCCTTCAAATCAATATATTGAAGTCCCAACCCTTAGCATCACAGAATATGACTATGCTTGGAGACAGGCCTTTAAGTATGTAAGCAGGTAAAATGAAGTCATATTGGTGGTCATTAGTAAAACATGACTATTGTTCATATAAGCAAACAAGATGGAGACACAAATAACACAAACGCTCGGAAGACCAGAACATAGCCATCTATAGGCTGGAGAGAGGGGACATGTACAAAACAACCATACCCACATCTGATCTCACATTTTTAACTCCCAGAACTGTGAGAAAAATAT